GTGGTGGTAGCAAACTTGCAAGAATTTATTTTTAAAATCATGGAAATTTTATAGACAATGAACCATTATAATATATTTGCGTTCAATAACTATTAACAGTTTCGAGAATTGTAGTCTCTGCAATTAAAGTACGAAATAATACTTAGCAATAATGACAAATGTCAAATCTACTGGTTTGCTATTTGCAGTCAAGTTGGAATACGAAGAAGAGGTTTAATAACATATGAGAGCGATTTAGAACGAACTTTTAATGAGACAGAGACATTTACAGACATGCAAACACAACCAGATTGAGGGAAATTGCATCTAACCGCAATTTCTGTTGTCAGAAGTAGGTTCTGTTATTATCAATAATAAAAGTGGCTGAATAACATGAATAAAAGATTCCCAATCTAAAAAATTGTAGTATCGAATCAAACGCATGTGAATCTTTTTATTCTTATATTAAATTAATACACTAGATATGCTTACATAGATGGCCCCTCTATTGGGTCTTCCATCTCGTCGTGAATTCTCACGCAATGCAAATTACAAAGAAACGGCTCTTCCCATCAATTATTTCATAACATTTGAATGCTTTGTACGGAAGTACTTAAGTCACTTTTGCACCATAAATGGACCCAGAGTAATTGAATTTTTAGCGAGACCTTTTATTTTAATTATTCGTATTTGATTTTATTGAGTGATACTTATGAGGCCGTGACTATATAAGTTAATTCAGCGTTTCAATGGCAAAATAACGCGCAGTTTGTAAAGAAATGTTAGAAGTTTAAACGTTTGCTGCAAGTATCTGTCAATGGCCGAATCGGTACAAGCTGAGTGGGAATATTTGAAAGCGTCATGGAAAAGAAAAGCAAAGAAATGCAGACGTACTACCAGTTGGTTCTAATAGAGTTTCGTCAAATCTGCTTCAGGCCATAGGCCACACATTGAGAAAGTCGGATTTCGGAGAGCATATAGTATTGCGACATTATATATAAGAGCTTCTACTTTCTATATTCGATAGAATGAACGAGCCATCATCACCAACTCTGGTTCCTTGGCAGATGGTTCCTGCGTCCTTGCTGATTCTTTTATAAAAGCTTGGTCCTATTCCTGATCAGTAGTAATCAGGTACTCCTGCCTTTTTTCTCTATTTAAGTTAGAGCTGACTTGTTCACTATGCTCAATTTAGTGCTATAATTTAAATTAAGTGGTTTGCGCTAGACTTATCTCCACGTGGTACATCCTGGGCAACGTATACTCATACGGGAAAAAAGTCTATTAACGGGCGTTCTTCTTCTCACTTAAAACTACCATCACCACACTGCATGTCATATTCGACTCCTTTCACAGTACTCAATTAACCTTTTTCTACCTTTGTATCTGTCTCTTTTACATCTTTGAAATACTCTTCTGTCCCCTCCCCTCTCGACGTTTTCCCATTTGAATATTTCTATCCTCTATGAAGCCCGAAGCAAACTAAAGGGCTAATGATAAAAATCAAAACGCCTGTCATTTGAAATAAATAATTAAAATTAATTCAGTCCTATTCATGATCATACAATAATAGTAATGGTAAACAAAGCCCGGCCCTCTTGAACAATCCAAGTTGGAATGCTTGTCTTGCAATGAAACTAAACCCCAAAAGAACTGTATTTTGGTTGCGAGGGTAGAGTACTAGCAATTACAAGCAGTCCGATTATTTCTTTCAGATGGCTTTAAAATAAGATACACTTAAGAAAAATGAGTTCATGTGTAGTTTAGACAGTTGGTAAAATCATAAATATTTCCAATTAACTTAACCTCATTCATGAACCCTACTAACCAAAATATCCAAATGAGTGTAACAACTGAAAAGCAAATTTGAATATCTTTCACTTGCATGAATTCTAGCCGTAGCGACCAAATACACGTACCGTATAATTCGACTCAATGGTATGAATTCCACTCGTTGTCAACCAACTTCTGAAACCAAACTTATTGATAAATATACTACTAATTCCATATGCTGGAAAGTACTGTATCTTTAATTTCATGCACAGATAGAAAATTGTACTTTATAATAAAATGGCGGTGGTATTTATTTATGTGTAAATCGAATTATTTAATTAAATATGGTCTATATTTCATTTTTAACAGACAGTGAACTATCGCAAATGAGTTCGATACATTGGACGTTTAAGCCAATTTTACATCCAGCGCAGACCATTTTAGGTACAAATAAATGGCAAATCCCTTTTTGAAATCAGTTGCTTAAGCTTACATGATGGTCAGCTTATTTACATTTTAGGATGTAGGGAGAAAATTCCATCTCAAATGGTTGATCCCATCAAATACTGCTTATTGAGATGTAGTTTCCGGTTTAAAAATGAAAGAACAAGAATAAAGCTTGTGATAACGGGCAGTAACGAAATGAATTTTTTAAGAAACGGAATTAATTATGCGTTCTAAGCCAAACCAAAAGCACAGAGTATGTGCGTTGTATGGTAAATGGAGGCTTTTTTGCGATTGACAAGAAGTACGCCTGTTCATATCGCACTAGCCGAAACGGCATGAAAGGACCGAACTCTCTTCAATTCAGTGGTGTCCAAACAATCGACAATTAAATAATGGGTTATCAAAAGTCATTGTCACATTACTATACTATCCTGGGGATAATTCACTTCGACCTTCTCACAGTTTTATAAAGCTTAGGATTGACCCGCTCCCTAACAACAACAGAAACAAAGGATTTAACTGTTATCTCTTTTTTTCAGTTGAATATATACAAATATTTATTTATTTCAAATGGCAGGCTTTGTGATATTTATCATTAGCCCTTAATCTTTGACTTCAGCTCCCCTCAAGGGTGGGGGGGGGTACATTTATAGCAGTTAATAAATAGCAATTCATCAGCCGTCTTCTTGCTTCCCAGTATCTCTGGCTTTCCGTCGTTGTCTTTAGGGCTGGACACCGAATCAGGTGGGTCTTCTCCATTTCCTCCTGTAGGTAACATAGAGGGCATGTGGGTTGGGTGTATACTCCTAATCTGTGAAGGTGTTTTGCCAAGCAATCGTGTGCGGTACGTAGTCTAAACTCAGCAACGGCTTCGATTCTTGGTCAGTCGACTATGTCGGAGAGTGCCACTGTCCACTGTTTCTCCTTTGTTTGAGCTTTAAGTTCGTTGCACCTTGAAGTCTGGAATTCTCTTCTGATTAAGGTTTTAATTGTGTGGAAAGACATCAGCCGGTCCATGCATTGCAAAATCGTTGTCCCCTTCTTAGCAAGTGTGTCAGCAAGCTCATTGCCTTTAATGCCACAGTGACCAGGAATCCACTGTAGGACCACTGTTTTGTTTAATACATTAAATAGTCGTGTTACACTCCCAAGAGTAGTGCACGAGCAGACATTTTCTCCTATGAAAGAGAATGCAAGCTTTAAAAAAACCCCCTTCAACGGCTGGGTTCACTCAGTCGGAAGTTATTCGATTTGCATCGAAAATTACAAAAAAATTACAGAGTTGTTTCAATGACGGTTTAAGCCAACCTGAGGGGCAATGAAGATTGACGTCACAGGGAGAGTTATGGATCTGTTTATTTCCAAAATATTTTAAGAGGAATATGCTATTAAATTAAGACTGTTTAGGCAAAAAAAAGTAGTTCATTTTTCGTTTCACTATTTCTTCAGAATATCACAATAATTCTTCTGATCTTTTAAAAAATAGTTTAAGATAAGGAAATAAATTTAGATTACACTCGCTTTTCTTCTAGACGATTGGATGCACAACTGGTAATATGGGCTTCAACAAGCTCCGTTGCTTTTATATAACAGTGTGGGACATTGACATTGCCCTAGGAATAAGTAATTATTAAATGGCACTGGAAAATGGAAGGTGAAAAGGACCTGCTATGCAAGATTAAATTTGTTGCCTTAACGAACTACAAAATGAAACAGTGACCAGCAAAGGCAGCTCATATTCACAGCGCACGATTCATTTAAGAGCAGTAAGAGTTTAGTTACTTACCTTAACTCTACTAACACCACCCAATTTTAAAACTAGGTCATTTTCAAATCCCAGCAACCACTGGTCACTGAAATAACTGGAATTTACTCGCTATGTTCAGGATTAAGGAGATGAAAAACGTCTTCAAGTAAAAGCTTCAATTGAACGTTACGTTCTCAATGGAAGGGAAACGTAAATCACAACTAAGTCTGTATCTAAATCGTTGCCATCATCCACAGCAGATTGTAAATTAAAGATTATTAATTTCCTTGTCCAACTTATGAAATTATTACAATCTATTGGCTCAAAAGACTTGGTAAAACGAAGTAATGTTAATGCGATTACGAAGTGTAATTGCGTTAGCAGATCAAAAGTTCGTGTTAACCACTATAATTTCACGGTATTGGTCCTACATTGTTATCAGTTTTATTCGTAAAATATAAGACATTTCTCTGTGCATTTGGCAATAATTATTGAAAATGGATAAGCAAACTCATTTACTTAGACAATTTAATACGAAATTCACGAATTCGCTTTGAAAGGATAACAAACAGTGACTGATTGAGTTATTGGAGCAACGATCAAGATTCGTCAAATACTTGAGGAATCATGTCATTTAGATAACTTCTTTGGGAATTAGGTTAATTAGAGCAAGACAGCTTTAATTACCGCTGTCAAAGTTTATTAAAAGCCCAAAATGACCCACTAAAAAGTATACTGAGGTGTGATACCCTAACTTGGATATTTAATTTTTTTAATATTTCTTTACAACACCGGATAGTGGAACGGAACTTCTAAATAGGTTATCTGTTTTGATCCAATCAGATTAATGGGTGTGGCTGCCTAAATATCCCGTTGGTCAATTGTGAAATCCCGCCAGCTGATTGGTTAACCCCACATCCAATCAAACTATCACTGAATTACGCCACAAACACTTGCAGCACTTGGGATAACCGCAGACTAGTTGGTTGTATGATTGTATCTTACTTATGTTGTTTCTGGTGACAGACGGAATTTAAATTCTTGGCATATAATCATGGCAGATATGAGTGGAGGAGGTGGCAGAGGTGGAGCAGGAGGTGGTGGAGGTTTTATGCGACAAATGTCAACAATTCGACATCGGCAAAGTCGAGTGGGTTCCACTGTGGGCGAGTCTACAGCTAGCACAGCTCACTCACAGCATACTCTACTTCCAAGTGCATCAATACGAAGACCCTCTCAAGTTCATCGTTTTCATGGGGAAATCGAATTCACTGGCCTTAATCAAACCGCTAGGGTAAGCTAATATCAAATTAAAATTGAATATTTTTATTTTACAACATAAATTTCTTCAAATTTCATAATTTTTCAGTTGTCTTTTATCTAATTATCCTTACTATAATTAACCTGTTAAGAGACACTGTATTAAAGCAAATAATGCTATTTCTTATTATGGGTTTAATAAATAATAAAGGAGAGGGTGTACGTGGATACAAAGAACGCAGTCGATTTATGAAAGTGTGGGTCCTCCAGTACAAAATGGATTTGGGTTGTACAGTGTTTACCAAATAAGTATCTGATATTCCACAATATAAAAATTCATGATTATTCCTAGAGTGTGGCAATCATTTGCTTACTTCAATTATTTTACGATATTCCACTGAAGAAGGATTTGTCCAGCAACTTCATTTTTCCTTTTAGTCAAGTGGTTGAAAAGTTAAATGCCCTTGATTGGCATTTTTTAGAAATGAGATTAAATAAACTTAAGGCCAGTGCATTGGAAACTTATATCCTATATTATGTATATTAGTATATACGATTGCACAATTTTTATCATTCCAAATGAACAACCAAAGGAGGAAGTTGATATAGCCGACATGATATCACTCGCAAAAATAACTCTTCCTTAAAGAAATTTGCGAAGGAAACAGATCCTGTGATAAGTTGAAGATAAGTTGAAAAAGCATAACATTGCTTTGCAAACAGTCACTGAAATTGACTATATAAGATATGGCTGATATGAGATATAGTCAGGTAACTATTCTCTAACTTCCTTAGCAATGCACGATTGCTAAACTGAAATGGATATCGCGATCTAAAAGTTGCGTCATTTTGTTTTCACTGTTACGCATACGGATGGATATCCTGAGTTTCAGTGATTTCGCAGACCGGGTACATTTTGCACTTTTCACCGCTTTTTGAGAGCATTAATCATGCGGCAATTTCGAATTTAATTTTGCCTTCTCTCACTCAGTGTGAGAAGATTTCCTCTTTCACCAAAGACCAGTAAATTCTCCTTTATATTTTCAAGGAAAGGTTGCAACTTTATTCAGGGGCTAATTTCTTAAACACCATCTCTTGAGTGACCGTCCCAAACCAGCTGCCTTTTTTTGCTGGATGGTTTCCAGAAAAACAATAGTTTGCCAAATACCAAACGTTTTCAGGCGTAGACAATAATCAGCCTTAGACGTGTTTTAATGGGCTGGGATTTGAGTACCACTTTGGTGTTTAATTTAGTAGTAGACAAATCTGCATTTACCGCAGTCGCAGTATAAGCAGGAGGGCTTTTATGACCTAAGGAAAAATGAAAACTAGGTGAGTAAAAAACGACAGACGCGTATTCCTTTGCTGACTTTAGAGAGCAAATTCAAATTAAAAAATATACACAACTTTGAATTTAACTTGACCTTTACGAAATATTCAAACAAAGTGCCCTTTCAGGACAGTCCCGCTTCTATCTCCAATTCTTTTATTTTCTCATTCCAACCATTTGAAGCTTAATTTGAGAATATAAATAGGAAGCGAAGTTTGTATTGCAATCCCAGCGGGTTCAGTTCAAATATTAGAGTTTAATACGCGCTGTGGCAGTGGTTCTTCTTGGACAGATGCAACATGTTTATGTATGGGGCAACGCAACTTCATTGTCTTTCATTTTTTTGAGAAGGACAGGCGGATATTCGTCAGTCAACTTCTCTCAAGTTTCTTGCTATTTGCACTAATTTTATTATTAATCTCCCGAAAATGATCAGAAAATTGAAATAAATTAGAGCTACACAATAGAGTCAGTATGTGGATGGGGAAATTAAAAACGACGTGAGTAGTTATTTGTCGAAGGCGCTTTCTTAATTTTTTTAGTTATTTTATACAATCTATGCCTCAGAATAGCTCGTGATACCCCACTCTAATTTGCCTTTTAACGGTTATGAAAGTAGAGTGATTTTATAGGCTTTTAAGCAGATAATATGATGTCGACATAGTTAAGGTGAGATGATCGAAATTGTTATTTTATTAAGCCCAAGAACTGCTAGATCACATTTGGCATTAGCCCTGAGCATTCACGAAAAAAACAAGTCAAGTTTTCATCAGAACAACCTAACAAACTGCTTATTTCTCATTTCGGCAGATCAAACGAAGTATATCAGCTCAGGAGTACTTATTAATAATTACTATACATTGATTTAATTTATTTTGTTCGTAAGTTAATTAACTTTGTGCATTTCACTAACCTTTGAATAATATCTCTAATTTTATAATACTTTCGCAGTTCGCCAAGCTCTCCCCCCACATGTCTGACAGTGCAATTAGGGATCTATTGCAACGTCGATGGGGCTTGAGGCCACCTACTCTAATTATCACCGTCTTCGGGACAGATTTTGAAAAGAAACGAAAGCTCAAAATGATCTTCAAAAAGGGTCTCTGGAAAGCCGCCGATAGTGGTAAGTTTCATCACAACTTACTCATTGGACGCGAGAAAAGCACGCTAGAACCTGTGCTTTGTGGGAAAGGAGATTTCTGTAAAACTATTTTCCCCCTATACAACCGAAGGCATCCGTAAACACAAAGCAGTGTCACTACCACTTAGCCTATTTGCACTCTGCACGTGAATTCAGTAAGACAAAGGGGGGTGGGGGGTGGGACAGGAGGAAATTAATTGTTTCACCCGGCGAGAGCTTTCCTATTGCCGCCTTTGATGATGAGGATACTTTCTTTGTGTGTGTATATATATATATTTAATAACACAACAATGGTTGGCTCGTTCGCGCATCTGCAAAACACTTTGCCGTATTTATTAGACGTGATTTTGCCTTATTCTTGCTTCGAGTTTATATTTTGGGAACTAACGTGAACGAATAGACCTTATCGTTTCTATATTAATCAGAAATCAGAAGGACATGTTTTATGAAGATCGGAGTAGATTATTTGTAAGACAATTTTGGATCTTAAAGGTCATTTCCAAGGTGTTATCGAATCTCTGAACCAATGAGCGAATCATGAAGATAACATCATCTTACACAGAACTCACCATAAAATTCAGACTGCAAAAAGCTTGCAGTGTTCAGTGCTTGTTCGTGTAAATTTGAGCATAAAATCTTACATACTAAATAATACTTGAGCTTTTAATGATATCTGACCACTGCCGAGATCAATAAAATGGAGTGGACACTTTCACTTGTGAAGACAAAAAAAGAGACATGACTCCGTTCAATTTTTGAACTGGATTCTGCAAGCTAACCTCAAAATACTGCACTAAAATAAAGCCACTTTTTCAAGTGTTAATCGTAGTTCACTGTGTGGACGATTTTAGTAAAACAAATTTTAAAAGCCAATAGGGCAAAAGTTGAATCAATTTTTTGCCAATAAAAATAAGCACAAGCATAAAACAGGGAAAGTGGTCATGTAATGAGGGCACTAAAGTGTACGAATGACACTTAGAGCATTTTCGAAAGAAATTTTTTTGTGTTCCTGAAAGAAAACAGAGATGGTTATTTAAAGACCAATTATAAAGGTTATAGACCTCGTGATTTGTAGCTTAAGCCTAGTGGCATCCAAGTTATCTGTAGGAAGAGCATCGCATTGTCTGTAACAATTATAATCATACGTACACTACAAACCTATTTCGCCCCGTATGACCTTTCAAAACTTAATTTTCTCAAATATGTTCCATCTGCAATTGATTATACTCTTGCTCACTTTCTCACAGGCTGCTGGATAGTCACGGGTGGATTTCAGTTGGGCATAATGAAATTAGCAGGAGAGGCAGTGAGGGATTACACGGACGCCTATGGGGGCAATCGTATGATCGCTTTCGGCGTTTCCAGTTGGGGATGCGTCAAGAAGAACGACATTCTTGAAGCCGCTCTTGAAGAAGTAAGTAAAGATTTTCAAATTGCCATTTCGTCTTTGGCTGTTTATTATACGGAGTGACCGAGAAAAAAGGTGATCCTGTTTGAATATAGAAATGAAAATGAATAAAATTTTTAATTGAAAGTAGTAAATACAGATGAATAAAAAATGACATACTGAACGTTCGATGATTTACAGAAATAATTTGAATTGTTCATCATGAATTTCGATGCCCAACTTGCCACTTCTCAACATGTCCATTTTATTTCGGATACATCGAGTGCATTTTTTACTAAGAATGCCATTGAATAAGATTAAGGTCTTGGAAAAGCTCAATAGAAAGTCAACACTGTTATTCAAACAATAAATGTTGCCTTCTTGTTTAGTAGTCGACTTCTTAAAGAAGTGAAGTTTCTAAACCCCTTAATGTTTTTGATATCTTAATCACTCTTGCTGATAGAATTTGAACAAATCACTTAAGCAAAAATGCAAGTGGATTTAAAGATAATGTGTTTAGAGCATTTACAAGTCTTTAATTACTTATGTCATGATATTTACACATTTTTGGACGAATTTTAACAAAAACATTCAGTAATAGACTTTAAGCATGCCTCAGTTTATTTTTGTAGTGTATTGTAGCAGTACAATGTACTGTAATACATTCGTTATTGGTCAACTTAAACCCTGAGCGCATATTTCTACGTAAGTGGAGAGTTGTGTATTTTTTTCTTAAACTTATTAACTTAAGTGAAACTTGTTACTTAGATTAAGGGAAAAGCGCCATTGTCTTTCCCCTTCCCTCTCTCCCTCTCCCAGCCCACTCTCTCTAAATTTAGTCCTAATTTTCAATGGTTTACTTTCTTTCAGTTTCTCTATCTTCAAACTCAAAATAACTGAAGCGAGTTTGGGATTCAGTAATTGAAAGACAACCATCTGAAATCGCTAAGATATTATGTTCTAATTCGTAATTTCGTTCGCATTTTTTTCAATAAGAATTTAGTTCATTAAGTTTTAACGCTTAGCCATTTGAAATGTTATACAGCAACAGCATGGTAAAAATATGTCGCTCGAATATATATTTTTTCTATTATAAACGAAATATCGAATTGCCAGAAAGCCTGAAAAATCTTGTTGGCAATGGACATACGTATATTAGGTCATTTTTTTCTGCAACGGTATGCAGAATTGCTACTTCTTGTTGGGCGGATTAAACCCCCTTTCAGAGGTGTCTGAAATCTGATTCACGAGAACTGTTGTCCAGAAAGCAATAAGACTTATTTTGTGAGCATTTTAATGAATTATTCATCGTGGAATATTGATTACCATCACTGAACTCATCGAACAAGCAGCCCCTCTGTTGTTTGCGAGATTGAGGACAGTGTTTGTCATTTACAAATTAGGCTTCCAATATTGAAGCCCTTACTTACAAAATGTTAATGAAATTTTACGCAGAATTTTTTATTTCTATTAAGTTTGCATTTGCAGCATCCCGAAGATTATTATATTTTTCCAAATTTCACGATTTATTAATCCTAAAAGGCAAGATTATTTATTTATTTATATCAAATGGCGGGCGTTTTGACAGTTATCATTAGCCC